CTAGAGCTCCGGCACGCGAGGGCCACGAAGAACCTGGGCGTGGACTTCGCGACGTCCAGGCAGGCGTCGCGGCGGGTGCTGCGCCAGGGGGCCCACCGGGCCAGGCAGCGAGCGGGGCGCCACGTGGCAGTGCGAGAGGCCGGGTCCAAGGGACGATCCCAGGGGTTCAGGACGGCCGGGGTTGGCCTCGAGCTTGCACGGCGCCGGGATCCGTGGGGTACCTCCGCCAGCGCTGCCGCGTGCTCGCGCGGTGAACGGGAAGGCCCTGACGGGCGAGAGAAGCATCAGGTCTCGGACGGTGCCGTTCGCGCTGCAGGAACACCGGGCCTGGAAGCATGACCCCGCCTACGCCGCGCACGAGTTCCCCTCTGAGAGCGCGGGCGAAGGCCGTCTTCCTGGGGTACAAGCCCGCGGCGGCTTTCAAAGAGGTGCTGGAGGTGAAGCCCGACAACTGGGGCGACGTCACGGGTCCAGCGGGGGCGGTCTGCATCTCGCTAGGGGGCCTTGGCTGGACCCTCAGGGCGTGACACCTCTGGGAGGACGGGCGGGGCCACGCCATGGACCTACAGCTCCTCAGCCCGCGCGCGACCGTCAGCGTAGTGGAGGCTGGGGTCTACTACCACCTGATGAGGCAGGTGGCCAAGCGCGAGGGTTTCGAGCACCTGAAGGGAGGACGCTCGACCTGGAGCCTGTTCCGAACCGCGCTGGCGGGGCTTCGAGGCGACGGCAAGCTGCTGTAGGAGGAGGAGGACGAGGAGGAGGAGGAGGAGGAGGAGCAGGAGAAGGAAGAGGAGGAGGAGGAGGAGGAGGGAGGAGGAGGACGAGGCAGAGAAGGAGGCGGAGGAGGTAGTAGTAGTAGTAGGAGGAGGAGGAGGAGGAGGAGGGAGGAGGAGGAGAGGCGCAGGAGGAGGTAGGACGAGGAGGAGGGAGGAGGAGGGAGGAGGAGGGAGGAGGAGGAGGAGGAGGGAGGAATAGGAGGAGGAGGAGGAGGAGGAGGAGGAGGAGGCATCGCTGCCGAGGGCCCCACATCGCAGGGGGACCCGCGGCGCAGAGCGACCTCCACGACGAACGCGCGGCGCTCGGCCCGCTTGTGCCAGGTGGTGCGAGGGGGCGACGCGCACGGCGCGCCACCGCGCCACCTCCTCCTCGCCTCCTCCTCGCCTCCTCCTCGCTTCCTCCTCGCCCCCTCCTCGCCTCCTCCTCGCCTCCTCCTCGCTTCCTCCTCGCCGCCTCCTCGCCTCCTCCTCGCCTCCTCCTCGCCTCCTCCTCGCCTCCTCCTCGCCTCCTCCTCGCCTCCTCCTCGCCTCCTCCTCGCCGCATCAACCTCGGGGTCGACCAGGCGTTGCAGCCCAGAATGGACGAGCTCTGCCACAAGGCTGGGCTGGCGCGCCACGAGTGCTTCAGTGGCGCGATTTGCATCGACGGCTCGGCGATGTGTCCCGAGGTGCCCAAGCTCACTCGCACAGGGGGGTCGGCCGTGATGGTGGCTGGTGTCGGCTCGGTCCTCGGCGGCATGTGCGGTTGCACGCCTGGATGGATCCAGAAGTTGGCTACGCTGAGCTGCGAACCTAACGTTGCAGGAGGCGGGGGCCGAGCCAGTGGTCATCGCCACAGACTGCAGAGGGGTCAGGACGACTTCACGAGAGGGCCCTCCCACTGCTGTGGGCACTAGCACACATGCGCTGACTTGTGGAAGCTAGTGCTCCGCCAGGTGGAGGAGCTCGGGGCCGAGTTCGTGGACCTGCGGTGGATGAAGGCCCACACCGGCTGGGCCGAGGCGAGCCGCCGCGGGACCTCCCTGCAGGCCGTCGCAGGGTACCGCGAGGCGGACGCGAGGGCGCGGCTGGGCGCCAGGCTCCACCCAGGCCAGCAGCTGCTCGCGGAGCTCGAGAGCCGCTGGAGCGCAGCCGCATCGCAGGCCGTTGCCTGGTGCGGCCACCACGGGGGAACCCTGAAGAGAATGGCTGCTCTAAGGTGGCCGGACAGAGGTCCCTCCCTGGTCCTCGGGCTCAGGATCCTGAAGCGCTCCTCTTGGTTCGGCCCGACATGGACCACCAGGTGTGTAGGTTCGGTCGAGCTCGGGGCTGTTCCGTCTGCGGGCTCCGACGTGCTTCGAGGGCCAGGGTCGGTTCACAGAGCTGCCCAGGACTCCCCATGTTGGTTGCCCAGTCCCACCAATCCCATCAGCTGTGGTTGATTCGGGGTGGGGGCGACAGGCCCTCGCCATCGCTCGGACGTCCATTCCGTGTGCTTTTTTCGCTTTCGTGCGTGGTTTTTTCGCCAAATGGTCAAGGATGCTCCTCGATGGTCCCCGCCGAAGGAAAAATGCACACGTCCGAGCGATGCCAAGGGCCTGGAAAAGGGATCCTGTGGGATGGGAGGGAGCACGATAGGTTTCTGCAACACGTGCGGGGCCTATGGGGCGCCCTGACGGGCCCACCTCCTCACGGACTGCTGTGTTCCCCCGGCCAGGCAGAGCCGCGACGCGGCTAAATTGGGCGCGCGCGCGCACACGGCCCTCGACAGTTGGGGGGCGGAAAGATACGGATACGTGTTGTCCCCGGACCTCTCTTGGGGTGCGTTCTGACCAGAATTTCAAGGCGAATCCAGCGGTGACAGCGAGGATTCCCCAGGAGGACCAGGAGAGGCCGCAAACGAAGGGGGACGACACGTATCCGTATCTTTTGTCCCCCCCGAGACGGGCTCCGAGGGGGGCGTGGGCCCCCTGTGTGGCAGCTGCTGGGGCTCCCCCATTCTCGGGTCGGGCGAAAGGGGGGGATAGCAAAGGGGGGGTTTGAGAATCAGCTCACGTAGCTGATTTTCCCGGCGCCTCCCCGCGCCGGAGGCGGCTATGTATCGAGGAACGGGCCCCTCGACGAGGCCGAAACCAGCTGCATGCAGCAAATTTCGTACCCCCCCCTTTCCCAATCCCCCCCTTTCGCCCGGCCCGACCAGTGTCGAGGGCGGCGCTGGCTGTCGAAACCCCAAGAAGGGGCCCTCGCCCGCGCCGGGTCGCGCTCCTTCGCTCCTTGGCGGGCCTCGGGCGTTCTCCTGGTGGGTTTTCGATCCACTCGACGTCCTATTCCTTCTCCTCCTCCTCCTCCTCCTCTCCCTCCTCCTCCTCGTCCTCCTCCTCCTCCTCCCTCCTGCTCCTCCTCCTCCTCTCCCTCCTGCTCCTCCTCCTCCTCCTGCTCCTCCTCCCTCCTGCTCCTCCTCCCTCCTCTCCCTCCTGCTCCTCCTCCTCTCCCTGCTGCTCCTCCTCGGATTTTCTCCTGGTGGGTTGTCGATCCCTGTGTAAGGGGAAGTGGCTGGTCTGCGGAGCGGACCGCCGCGTTTCAGGAACTGGGGGAACTAGAGGTGGAGGAGCAGCGGGCACACATGGGAAGACGCCCCGAGTTCGGGTTCGGGGATTAAAAGCGGGGGGACTGAAGAGGAGGGAGGAGGAGGAGGACCTCCCCATCCTCCCTCTTCCCCCCGTCCCACTGATGGTAGCGGTGGTGGAAAATTGACTCATCATCGTTGGTATCTGCGGATCGGGCACGGGGACTCGGGCTCAGGGGCACGGAACTAGGGGAACGAACATGACACACACATCGAAACTCGGAGGTCCGCGCGGATCTCTCCGATCCGCGCTGGACCCCCCTCCCTGGCGCGCGGAGCGCGCCAGGGGCTGGCGCCGTAGGCGCCGTCAGGGGGCCCCGGCGCCGATTCGAGAAATCCGCACGGACCTCAGAGCTATATTTTCGGGGAGACGTAAGACCCGGGTACGGGGGACTCGGAAATCCCCGACGAGGTCGTCAAAAAAATGACGAGGCCGAGCCTGCATTTTGACGAGGCCTCCCGCTGCAGACATCCCACGAAACTCCTCCTCGTCAAAATCCGAGTCGCGGTCGTCAAAAAAAAATGGCGAACCCGAGTCCTGGCAAACCCGGGTCTTACGCTCCCCCGATATTTATGTCATGGTCCGTTTCCCTAGGAACACAGCCAGGATCGGTCAGGGAATGTCGGAATCGGATCGGACCGCGTCGGAGCTGGCCTGGACTGCGGGAAGCCTCGGGGACTAAACGCCCGGCACGCCAGGTGGTGGGACGACGAGAGGGGCTACCTACGTACGAGGGCCACGAGCAGCGAACATACAGTAGGGACCCGACCACAAGAAACCTTCCACAAGAAACCAAACCCTGAAACCTCAGGGCGTCCATGGATTTCCGGTGTTGGCACGTCAAGCTCTCCATAGCAAAAAAAATCGAAACACAAGAAACCAAGGGTACCCTGGAGGCGAGCAAGGTGCTTCTCGGCATGGGCCTCCACTGTATCCGTGTGCGCGCCCTCGCGGTCCAGATTCGGGGAGGCGCGATCCCGCTGATGCGCGGTCGCACGGACACGCTCCGCGCGAGGCGTCCGCGAAGAAACGCCCCGAGCCCGCGGGGTCGCGGCCCTGGGGCCTGGCCCGCGAGGCTGCGAACACGGGTGCGTCTTCCGCCCACCATCACGTAGAAGGAAGATGCCTGGACAGGAGAGCCGTGGCGGCGTGCACAAGGGGTCAGGGGGAGGGGGGCAGGCTTCTAGGAAGGGGGCTACTTCCGAGAAGGCGCGGGCCCTTCACCCACAGACAGGGCCTTAGTGGGCCCTGGAAACGACAGGGCCGTTTTTGTTACCGGTTCCGTTTTGCCGTTTCAAGTTCCGACACCGTTTTTGTTACCCGTTCCGTCGTCGTTTTTTGACCGGTTCCGGCTCCGGTTCCAATCCTGGAGCCGTTTTTTGGCCGTTTCCGGTCGCCGTTTTTTGGCCGTTTCCATTTTCAAGGGACATTTTTTGGAAATGGTGAAAAAACGGCCCTGCCGTTTCCGGGGGCCACAAAGGACAAGGCCCGCGCCTTCTGAGAAGCAGCCTCCTCCTAAGAGGTCCCTGCCACCCCCCCCCTGCTCCTCCGTGCGCGTGGCCGGGAGAGGGGAGGGTGCCGACTCTCGTCGTCACTGCGACTTGAGCTCCCCCGGCGCCTCCGCGGCAAAACTCTTTGCCAGCCACCCCTCCGCGCGGGTCACGTCCCCGGCCTGCGCGGCGGGCTCGCGCGCGCGGGGCTGCAGGCGGGGCCTGCGCAGCACGGACTTTTGGCCACCTACCTGCGCATACCACCGCGGCCACCGTGCCTGTCCGGGGCCATCCTGGGCCAGCGCCTCGAGCTGGACGGTTTTTCCCCCGGGGCCGTAGGCGCCCCGAGGAGGGGCGGGCGAGGAGGAGGAGGAGATGGAGGAGGAGGGCCAGTGTAAACCCAAGAGTCGACAACGACGTTGGAATGAACCCTCCCTCCAAGCTCCCTCTTCGTAGGCCCCTACAACGGTTCACTTCCGTTGAAGGAACTGCCTCGTTGGAAGACAACCGTTCGAAGATCCTGAAGCATGCCAAAACGTTGTTCTCGGGCAGATGTGAACGCCACGTATCAACCTGACTGCTGCGTCTTGACGAACCAGAATATTCTCAGAGCGTCATCTGTGGGACTTCCGAATCCACCTCACTGTTGCACCCGCATAATCCAGAACCCTTCCGAAACACCATTTCTGGTACGCTGACCATGGAAATCCGTGAAACTCCTGCAAATGTATGAAAACGAGTGTGCGCGGCGCTGAGGCGAGAGCCACAATTTGAAAACGGCCAGACCTCAAGCCGTGAAAGCCTTGCAAATGTTTCAAACGAATGTGCGCACACTGGCGAAGGCCACATATTGAAAACGACCCGCCCTCAACACGTGAAACTCTTACACGTGTTTCAAACGAACGTGCGCGGCGCTAAGGCGAGAACCACATTTTGAAAACAACTGCTGCAAATGTTTAGAACGAGTGTGCGCAGCGTTGGGGCGAGAACCACACTTTGAAAAGCACCCGCCCTCAATCAGTGAAATCCTTGCGAATGTAAAGAGACGGCGCGCGGCGCTAAAGCGAGGGCCACATTGAAAAGACGATCCGCCCTCAAGACGTGAACCTCATGCAAATGCTTAGAACGAATGTGCGCGGCGCTGAAGCGAGAACCACATTTGGAAAATGACCCGCCGTCAACCCGTGAAACTCTTGCAAACGTTTAAAACGAATATGCGCGGCACTACGGCGAGAGCCACATTTTGAAAACCACACGCCCTTGATCTGCGAAGCTGCTGTCACTGTTTAAGCTTCAGGGCCATGAATGATGAGGACGTCTCAGTCGAAACGCCCGACCCGCCCTGAAAACAGGCTTCGGGGTGCGACAGGGAGAAGTTATCTATAAGGATAAGAAATGGAGGAGGAGGGAGGAGGAGGGGGAGATGGAGGTGGAGGAGGAGGAGAAGTTATCTGTAAGGAAAAGAAATGGAGGAGGAGGGAGGAGGGGGGGAGATGGAGGTAAAAAAGGGAGAAGACGGAAGAGGAGGACAGGTCGCCCAAACCCTTCCGAGAACCCCACCCCCCGCTGGAGCCCTTCTGCGCATGGTCCGCAACAGCGCGGCCGTGACGTGCGGCGCACCCCCCCCTCCCCCCCTTGCCCTGGCTGTATACGCCACCCTGATGGTCCGCTACCGAAAATTTCGGGTAGCGCTCCGCAGAGATCGGTCGCTACCGAAATACCGAAATGTAGCGCCCAATACCGGTATCAGACCGTTCTGAAATCCGCTATTTCAACGCCCTCAAACGAAGATCCGGTCGCTACCGAAATTCGGGGTGCGTCGAAATCGCTACCGAAAATTTCCGGTACCAGACCATCTGGGCACGGTTCGCGCCGGCGCCGTGTGGGAACTGGCCACTCCTGACGACCGAACGACACACACCCACACCCACGGGGAGGTCGCTGGGAGGAGGACCGGCGGTGGGTGCGGGTGCGGGCGGTCGGGCCCTGGGGAACGCTCCCGTTCGAGCGGGGGCCCCCATCCGACAGCACGCACCCATGTGAAGGGGCCCCAGGACACACAAATAGATAGACACAAATGACAGGATTCCCTATATTTTCCTATATTTTTTGAGTTTTTCGTCTTCCCCACCACTTCCCATATTTCCCCATATTTCCGGGGGAATCGACGATTAAGTGTGTCTGTGTGTTTTTTTTTTTCCTCCTGACCATACCCCTCTCCGATCCCCTTATGGGTATGGGTGTGTGTTGTTGGTTCGTCAAGTCCTGCGACTCCCGAGACCTCGGAGCCGGGCGGTGGGAGGCGCTGGGACTTCAAGCTGGGTCCCCCGACACCTCCCGAGGCCAAGACTCGGCGGTGGACAAGCCTCCCTCTCGCAAACCTTCCCTTTGTGTCAGGGTAGGAGGTCTGTCCAGCCCCGAAATGGGGGGCAAACAAACCTACCTCGCTTTTGACCACCCTCGCTTCCAAGAGACACCAAACGATGCCAAAGTTCGGCCCGTACTGGTCAGGCCGCTTGACGAGGAGGCGCGTGGTATGGCTTGGTTTTGCGGGGGAGGCAATTCACGCTCTGACGAAAGACGCACCCGGCTCCCGCGCCGCGCCCAGCCGTGACGGCCGGCCCGCCCCCCCCCCGGAGGCCCACCACCAGTGCCCCAGGCGGCCCTCCTCCGAGAGGCCGTGCTGGCGCGAACGGCGATGCGACCGCTCCCCCCCGCGCCCCTGCCACCCTCCCTCCCTCCCTCCCTCCCCTCCCTCCCTCCCTCCCTCACTCCCTCCCCCTCCCTCCCTCCCTCCCTCCCTCCCTCCCTCCCTCCCCGCTGGTCACGCCCGTTGGAAGAGAAATCCCGTGAGGAGAAAGTTTGGGGTCCAGGCGGGAGAGAGTCCACTGCTTCCCAGAGATGTCGATGCTAGGACGTCTGGGCCGCGTTTCGCCCGAGACGTCCCCACTAGAAGAGCCACGATGGGAGCTTTGGAGGGGATAAGAAAGTGTGGCCTCCCCGCCCTCTGTTTCAGTTGAACCACCTTCAATCCCGTGGACCAAGAGGCACCAGGGGAAACGGGGGGAAGTTTTATCATCCTGGGGCTACGAACATCGCCAGAGCATGCAGCAGAAGGCCTCTTCTGAAGCCTGGCCCGAGGTTAGGTGGGCCTGCCGCACTACAGTCAACCCGTATAGTAAGGATGCGAGATAATGAAGGGGAACTGGGACACACAAATAAATACACACAAATAAACATATCCCCCATATGTTCCCATATTTTCTGGCTTTTTGTCTTCCCCCCCACTTCCCATATTTTCCCATATTTTCCTGGGAATCGACGATTAATTGTGCCTGTGTGTTTCTTTCCCTCCTGAGTATAGTAAGGATGCGAGATAAGGATGAATGGGCCTTGGACGCTCACTTCGAAGCTCCTCGAGCGAGGCGCGGCCGACGACAGTGGCTAGGAATGCACCGAGGCGGCGAGGGTGCGACGGCAGCTCTGGGAAGGCTGCCCCTCCTCCATCTGCGGGCTGACTGTATTGAAGGGGCCCAAGGACACACAAATAAATACACACAAATAAAACGATCCCCCATATTTTCCCATATTTTCTGGATTTCTGTCTTCCCGCCCAATTCCCATATTTTCCCATATTTTCCTGGGAATCGAGGATTAATTGTGTCTGTGTGTTTCTTTCCCTCCTGATGTATCCCAGGCCCCAGAAAGGACAGCAACCAAAACCAGGCTACTGGCGGGCGTAGGGAAAGAAGCAGCGGCAGAAACATGCAAACTCGGAGGTCCGCGCGGACTTCTTGGATCCACGCTGGCCCCCCCTCCCCGGTGCGCGCGCCACGGGCGGCGCCGGAGGCGCCGCCAGGGGGGGCCCCAAGCGCCGATCCGAGAAGACCGCGCGGACCTCCGAGTTTCTGTTCCTGCCACTGCTTGTTTAGAGGCAAACTCCTCCTCCTCCTCCTCCTCCTCCTCCTCCTCTTCATCCCTCCTCCTCCTCCTCCCATCATCATCATCCATCCTCCTCCTCCTTCCTCTCCTCCTCCTCCTCCTCCTCCTCCCTCCTCTCCTCCTCCCCTCCTCCTCCTCCTCCCCACTCCTCCTCTAGACGGGTCGGAGTAGATGGGGTCGGAGGATCGCGCCGCATCGGCGATGCATCGGCGATGCATCGCCGATGCGTCGTCGACGTCGGCGATGCATCGGCGACGTCGACATGAAGCAACTCGAGCTGCACATCGGGCCGCATCGGCGATGCGTCGGCGAGACGGCGCGATCCTTCGACCCCACCTACTCCGACCCCGTCTGGGAGGCCTAGATTGTTTCTCCGTCTCCTCCTCCTCCTCCTCCTCCTCCTCCTCCTCGTCCTCCCTCCTCACCTCCCCGTCCTCCTCCTCCTCCTCCTCCTCCTTCTCCTCTCCTCCTCCTCCTCCTCCTCCTCCTCCTCCTTCTCTCCCTCCTCCTCCTGGCACGAGGTCCCTGCAGGTGCTGCCTCGCGCCCTGAGGCCCTGCGGCGAGGGCTGCCCGGGCGTGCGCGCCCCTCCCGCGGGGCTTGCGCGACCCGGCACGGGCCGCCTCCCCCCGCCCCCGCCTGCCTCCACGGCGTGGGGCCCCGAGGGGGGGGGCGAGGGAGCTCCGGCGGCGGGCACCGGGGGGGGGGGCGGGCCCCAACGGGCGGGTCGGGCCTCCTCCTCCTCCTCCTCCTCCTCCTCCTCCTCCTCCTCCTCCTCCTCCTCCTCCTCCTCCTCCCGAGGCAGACAGACAGACAGGAGCCGCTCGGCGAGATCCATCGACCGCTGCCCGGCTCGAGAGAAGAGCCGGCGGCCTCGGGCGGAGAGGTCTTCTCCACGGCAAGAGGCGCGCGGCACGACCGCGGACCCCCTTCCCCTGCATGGATCGGGTCGGGCGAAAGGGGGGGATAGCAAAGGGGGGGGTTGAGAATCAGCTCGCGTAGCTGATTTTCCCGGCGCCTCTCGGCGCCGGAGGCGACTGTGTATCGAGGAATGGGCCCGGCGGCGGGGCCGAAACCAGCTGCATGCAGCAGATTTCGTACCCCCCCCTTTCCCAATCCCCCCCTTTCGCCCGTCCCGAATGGAGAGGGGGCAAGGAAGGGGTGGACAGGGGGGAGCGGGGAGGGGAGGGGGCGGGAGCGGAGGCCACGAGAGCGGCTCGAGAGCATGCGGATCGAAAGTCAGGCCGGGGCGGTGCGGTGTTCGGGGCGGGGCGGGCCCCAACGGGCGGGGCGGGGCGGGCGCGGGCGCGGGCAGCGGGCCCTGACCCTTTTTGGGAGGGGGCCCGAGTTAGGAGGGCCGGCGGCAGAGAGGATAAGTTGAAGGTCGCTGGGGGGGGGGGGGCAGCGTTGTTTCCAGGGCCAGATCCCCGCACGCTCGGCGGGCGCGCTTGATCGGTCAACAGCCATCCTTACCGCCGCCCTTCGCGAGAAGCTCTGATTTCAGGTTTGCTATTGCCCACGATCGGGCTGCTCATGCTTGCCCTTGCCCTACAAATCCATTGCCCTCTCCCCCGTTGCCCCAGAAACACAGATCGCCGTCGCTGCCCCTCAGCGAGCTTCAGAGGATAAGGGGCCTTTTCCTGAAGATGCACCACACCAAACCGCCCAGCACTCGCAACCCTCATGCGAAGACGGGGGGCCTCAGTGAGGCTGCGTCTTCATCGCGTTGGCACGCGTGTACCCTGACGGGCGGGGCAGGTCGGGAGGTCGGGTCGGGTCGGGCGGACCCCAGCGGGCGGGACGGGTCGGGCGGGCGGGGCATTCAAGTATGATGCGTCATCGAGATGGCACGGGCGGGCCTTCTCGAAGGCTCAGAAGGCCTCCAGCATCCCAAGAAGCTGTTTGAACCTTCTCGGAAGCCGCAAGAAGGCTTGGCAGCAGGCCGGGGGGCTTCCGAGAAGCCCCGCCACTTTCTGAGAGGGCCTGCCTCAGACCCTGCGACGTCGTGATCTCTCGCTACGTAGATTTAAGTCGGGCCCGTCCCCCTACAGGGGGACTTTCGACGAAAAATATAATAAGATACACCCACAATAATCAAACAATACACAATAAGAAAAAGTCAGGGGACAATTTTCTGAATTGTTTTAAACCTGTTTGGGGTATTTGTGGGGTATTTCTGATTTTTCGTTGAAAATCCCCCTGTCCCCCTGTAAAGGGACAGGCCCGACATAAACGTAGACCCACGGAGGTCAAGACCCTCTCCCCCGGACGGGCCCTTTATCACGGGTCTAGACCCTCTCCCCGGGAAGGTGGTCGAAATAGTACACACCAACATCTGAATCTAGGATCATCTTCGCGCTGTGGAGGCAGCCCCCTGTGTTGGTGTTGGTGCTCGTGTCCAGGCCTCCGAAGAGATCTGGCGCTACCAGCAGCTTTGCAGCGGCGGGCTCTTCCTCCTCCTCCTCCTCCTCCTCCTCCTCCTCCTCCTCCTCCTCCTCCTCCTCCTCCTCCACCTCCTCCTCCTCCTCCACTCTACAATTACTCAATATGAATATACTCTCCCTCTTCCCCTGATGGCGTCCGGGTGATGGCCGCGCACCCTCCGCGTACTGTTTTTTTACACAGGATGCCCGGGAAATCCCGGGAAACGACTCTCGCTGAGGCGCCGGCGTCATGTTTTCCCAAAATGCTGCTCTCGTTGAGGCGCCGGCCTCATTTCTGCTCCCGAATCGTTCCGAATCGTGCTCCCGCTGCAGCGTGGGCCTCATTTTCGGATCGGTGTTTGGCCTCCGTCGTTCAGGATGGCGTTCTCGCCCCAGCGCGGGCCTTTTTCTCGCGCGCCCATCCGCCCGCCACCACCGCGCCGCACCGCCACCACCACCACCACCACCACCACCACCCACCACCACCACCACCACCACCACACCACCACCAGCACCAGCACCACCAACACCACCACCACCAGCACCACCACCACCACCACCAGCACCACCATCACCACCACCACACCACCACCACCACCAACACCACCACCAACCACCAACAACCACGCACGCACGCACGCACGCGCACCACCACCCACTACGCACGCGCGCGCGGAGCCACAGGTCCGCTACGACACGCGTCCGCGGATAGAGAAAATCAGCGCCATGGTAAGGGATGGGAGGGAGGGGTAGGACGTCAGATATGACGCGAGCGCACCTAGCTTGTCCTCCTCCCCCTCCCCCTCCTCCTCCTCCTCCTCCCCTCCCCCTCCCCCTCCCCCTCCTTCTCCTCCTCCTCCTCCTCCTCCTCCTCCTCCTCCTCAAAAAACGACCTGGGACGACCTGGTTGACCCCAGAAAAGGAGGTTCAGCTACAAGGGGGTGGCGCAGCAGCTCTGGTGCAACAAATCTGTGGGCTGCCACAGATCTGGGGCGTGCCAGGTACTCCTGGGCACAGGCGTTTTGCTGGACGCTCGCGTGCAATACACTGGTCGCAACACAATGCAATATAGTTCTCCGGCGCCGCACATCTGCAATACTAAATTGCCCAAGATCTATGGCACCACCCCAGTTCAGCTGGACCCACTCTTGGGTCAACCACAGACGAGAAACGGGCCCCTTTTATCGGGAGCGGCCAAGAGGGGGGTGTCCAGGAGGGGGGGGTGCAAATCATGACCGGCGGCATGTGCGCGGCCCAGCGGGGGGGCCAGGGACGCAATGGAATAAGAAGAGGCGCCATGAAATCTGAGGAAATATCATGGCCCACGCCATGATACCCACCCCGCCCCTAGTCATCACCCCCCTCTTTTCCGCCCCCGATTTAAAGAAGTGGCCCAGACCTCTGGGGCAACGCGGCGAAAAGAGGGGGGTCCCGCGATCGTGCCGGCCCCCCCCCGTGCTCGTTCTGCTGCTCCAGCACCACTCGGCCTGTGCGCTGTCCGTCACCGGCGGCTGGCGCTGGACAGACTAGGGGGGCAAACACACCTGCCTCGCTTTTGACCACCCTCGCCTCCAAGAGATACCGAGCGATGCCAAACCACGGCCTGTACTGGTCAGGCCGCTCGACGAGGAGGCGCGTGGTATGACTTGGTTTTGCTTGGAAGCGAAAGCGGGGTACACCCTGCGAAATGCTTAAGAAATCATGGGTTAAGAAATTCATAGTCTCAGAACTTGAGTAGAAGCCCAGAATTTCCATCGAAATCTTAGGATGTACATGGAAACGTTAAGAATATTCGAGACTCTGGCCGAAAACTTAGGTTTTCTTCAGCATCGCCTAAGGTGTAGGCAATTCACGCTCTGACTCAGATGGCGTGCCGCATCGACCTCCGAAAGGACAGCCGTCCCTGTGGGCTCCCCCCGCGGGGGCCCCTGCCTGCGCGCGCCGTCCCACTGCTGGGGCCTCTGCCGTGCGCGCTGCCCCCAGGCTTGGGGCACTCGGTTGTTCTAGCCCCTGCGAGGAAAGGGCTGACAGTACCTCCACCATGGCTTTGCGCTTGCCCTCGCCTCTGTCCCAGATATTCGCACAGATCTCCAGAGAAACCAACCGAACCAGCCCGCCATTGTCCTCACACGGGCTGGGTTAGCCCAACTGGCGGTGGGTCCCCAATATTGAGCATTCGACCCCGGAATTCAACAAGATCATTCCCCATGCGCGGGCGCTGGCCGCCATCTTTCCCACGCAAACCATCTAGGACGTGGCCATGGCTGGGACAGCAGTCGGACCAGGACACTTGGGGGATCTTGCGGGCAATAGTTGTATCCACATCCAGTGCGTCTTGGAGCTCTGGGCTCTCTTCCCCAGGAGCCGGAGGCGCACTGGATATGGACAAAAGTCTTGCCCCAGAAGGTTTTTGATGTGTATCCATATCCAGTGTGGTTCGGCCTCCCAACAAGTCCACGACGCTCTGGATATGGAGGGAGTGTTGGGAGCCGCGGCCACTCTGGAGCGCCCTGGAACGCTCGGAGAGCATTCCGGAACGCTCTGGAACGATGTATCCCTGTCTTGGCCCCGCTTGACCAAACCTACGTGGTGGGCCTCTTTCATCGAGACCCTCCGCCGGCCAGAATGCACAGTACATCAGAGGGTACCCTCCCCAGGATGCACAAGAACATCCGAGGGTACCATACCCGAACCAACCTCGATCTTAAAACTCGGCCCGACTGCAGGAAAGGAGGAAGAGAAAGGCGAAGAGGGGGAGGAGGAGGAGGAGGAGGAGGAGGAGGAGGAGGAGGAGGAGGAGGAGGAGGAGGAGGAGGAGGAGAAGGAGCTCGGCTTCGCTGCGGATGCGCTGCGAAGCGCCTTCGGGCCAGCTCACCCGAGTCGGCTTCCCGCTCGCACGGGTGCAGCGCTCCCTCCCCCCACGCCTCCCTCCTCCCTGCTCGTGTTCGGAGGTCCCCGGCCGGCCACGGCTTGGGGAGCTGTGTCTCCTACTCCCCATGGCCTCTCGCCTCCTCCTGCAGACTGCGGCGCTCCGTGGAGCCGGCCCTCCTCTCCCACCCCCCTTCACCCACTCGGCGCAAGGCCCCCCCAGCCACACCTCAGAATGCGAGGTGGAAGCGGAGGAAGGGTACGAAGAGGAAGAAACAGAAGATAGGGAACCCACAAAGGACATACGCGCCCAACACGTACATGAACACGGCCCCTGGATCCGCGAGACTGGCCGCGTTATACGAACCTTTGCGCAATGCGTACTCTCGAAACCAGCGTGGATTCATGTACGTGTACGTCCTTGTTTTGCTCCTGAGAAGAGCGCGCCATCAATTCTAATCATCTCGCATCACATCGGCATCTACCTGGAGGCCGGAGAGTCGACAGCGCATCGGCCCGGAGAGGTGAGCGCAGCAGTTAGCCCAGTCGCATGTTCCGAGTACGGGGTGGGCCACAGCTCTAAGGATGCCTGTGGCACTGCGCTTCGCTTCCAGACTGCCAAAGTGGCACCAGCAAGCAGAGTCACAAAAGAAGACAGCCTGCGCACAGGCGTTGATCACGCAGGCGTAGCTGACGGAGCTTGGTTCCTTGCCGAGGATCGCCATCCAGGACAGCCAGAGCTCTGCCATGAGCACGTTCCTGCCATGCGCTGTAGATAAGGGCATGGAACTCTGCACATCAAGCGAAGGAAGGCGACGAGAGCAACTCGGCGGTATACCAGACAACAGCAGACGGTGCTACCGTAGGCGGGGGCCTCGACAGATCCACAGACCTGGAATAGCCCCTTGCGAATGACGCGAAACACGTCCATATCATCATATCATCGACTGCTTGCGCACGCACGTGATTACCTATCCCCACTGATGCCTGCACCTTCACGACGCAGGGGACAAGGCCCAGCGATACTTTCAGGTCGGGCATGTCCTCCTACAGGGGGATTTTGGACGAAAAATTAAAAATAGTCAAAACATACTGCAAACTTGTCAAACAAATATACAAAAAAAACGTCTCCCGACTATTTTCTGTGTATCTCTGAATATTCCACCTGTACAGTCAAAAACCCTAATAAGGACGCGCGGTAAGGACGCAAGAACCTTGGAAGCCGAAGTTGGGATTTGTGGGGCGGCGGACGGCGAAAACCCCGACGAGGGAGGCCGAGGACGAGCAAGGACGTCAGGGTACCCTGAGCGAAGTCGCGCGTCCTTAACCCCAGGAAGCATTTAAGACACCCCCCGGCGATATCGTAGCACCGCATTTTTTATTCGATATTCCGAGGGGCCGAAATAACCGAACGATAGCTGTAGCACCCGGACACAAGGAGGGCGCCTGGTGCCAGGTAACGCTTCCAGGGTGCGGAAGGGTTATCGATTTGCCGGAGGGGGGGGGGTCTTAAATGCTTCCTGGGGTTATTAGGGTTTTTGACTGTAGAGGGACATGCCCGACTTAATCAGATTCTCTGGGAGGACACATGGCGCACTGCCCTCGGGCGGCGGGCACTACAGACGAGTCCACACCGTGCCGGGCCCGCCTCGCTGGGCGACAGCCCAGGCCAACAACGCGACCACCGCACGGCACGACGCCTCGCGGCGGCGAACGACGGGGAGGGAGAGAAGTCGGGAGCGGCCAAGAAGGGGGTGTCCAAGAAGGGGGGGTGCAAATCATGACCGGCGGCATGTGTGCGGCCCAGCGGGGGGGGGTGCAGGGACGCAATGAAATAAGAAGAGGCGCCATGAAACCTGAGGAAATATCATGGCCCCCGCCATGATATCCACCCCCCTCTAGTCATCACCCCCCTCTTTGCCGCCCCCTAAGGAGAAGGCCTTCTCAGAAGTCTCGACCACCCCCTGGCCTGCTGAGGAGTTCCCGAAGCACTCCCCGGAGACACGGAACACCTCTCAGAAAGCTGGAGGGCTTCTGAGAAGCCCCGCCGCCTTCCGAGAGGGCATCCTCCAAAAGCATGTGACCTCCGCTGAGCAAAACACACAGAACATTTGAGGGTACCTTCCCCCAGGATGCACAAGATCATCCAACAAACGCGAAGAACATCAGGGCACCCTCCCAGAACAGACCTCGACCTGATACCTCGGGCCAACCGTACGCCTCTCCTCCCCTTGCTCATCCCCCCAAAACGTTTCCCGGAAAGGGGCAGGGAGGGGTGACAGCCGTCCAAACAGACATCCGACTCACGAATCGCAGTCCAGGGCAAACAACGAAGAACCTTTGTATGTGTATAACCATAAGTACATATACAAATAACCACATACATGCAAACATACACAAGTGCATACGCACACGTACCTAATCCCTATGTGCGCACCCCTAAATATGCACACACCTGTATACATGTATAGCCATGCTTCCGCCCGCCGACCTCCATTGGCACAGGGTGAAAAGGTGCAAGAGGTGATTGGCTGTCACCCCTCCCCCCGTCCCCCTCCCCTGGGGTCAAAAATCCCGTTAGAAGAAGGGGCAGGGGTAGGGGGGGCATAAGCTCGTCAATACACCTCTGAACCTTTGGAGCCTCCAAATCCCGCCAGCCTCTGGGCTTATGTGGTACAACGCGTCGTTTTCTTCTCTCTTCCACTGAAACCCCTCTCCCAACCCCCTCCCCTGGGCCTGGACGGGGCGCGCCGCGAGGCGTTAAAGCGTCCAAGGTGGCCAAAGATTGCTCCAAGACGCGTTCAAAGTCGTCAGATGGCCTCCCAAATGGCCCATGTTACTTCAAAATGGGTCAAGATAGCCTCCGGCATACCCCCCGGAGGTTCCAAGACAGCCCCAAGACGGATCCAAGTGCCCTTGGAACCCTGCACGGCGCTTTGCAAGATGCCAGAACCCTTCAAATGCCTAGGGGAAACCAATGTTTTTGGCATTCTCGCCTTTTCGCTTCGGATGGGCTTTGGAAGCCTCAAGATGGCACCATGATGGCCCGAAAGGGCCCCAAGAGGGGCCCAAGAAGGCCGAAGACGGCCCCAAGATCGCCCAAGAGGCGCCCAAGAGCGCTCCAAGACGGCCCCAAGACGCCGTTTGAGAGTCTCCGAAAGGGGGGGATCCTGATGAAGGAACCTGCTCATTTTGAGACATAGGGTCCAAGATGGCCCCAAGAGGCCTCCCAGCCTCTCCCAAAGACCCTCCACCCCGCCCTTTTTGGCTCAAGATGGTTCCAAGAGGGGCCTAGATAGCCCAATATGGCCTTCATAATGGTCGAAGATAGCCAAGCATGGCTCAAGATAGCCTCCGACAGACCTCCAAGAGGCCTCAAGGCAGCCTCACGATGGCCCAAGATAGCCCAGCTTGGCTCAAGATAGCCTCCGACAGCCTCTAGCCGAGCATGGCTCAAGATAGCCTCCAAGAGGCCTCAAGAAAACGGGAAATCAATTGTGGATGGGCTGGTGGGGGTATTTTTCTTGGTCGCGGCCGCAAGCGAGGGCGCAGGCGGCGGGTCGGCAAGTCCGGGGCGCGGTCCTTACTAATTTACAGCGAGCAGCAAACTAGAGCGCGGGGTCCAACCTAAACTGCCTAAGCCGCCGAGCTGCGCTGCGGTGAGCTGGGGGCGCCACGGCCAAGAGATCGGAAGCGGCCCACCATCACCGACATGCATCAAATTGCCAGGCCAAACTGAATCAGGCTGGTGGGGATACGTTTTGTTTGTCTGCGGCCGCGCGACAACGGACTGGCGGCGAAGGGCAATGTCCGGGGCGGGCGGCACAAAGCGAATTGGCGACCGCAACCGCCACGCTGGCAGGCCGAATCGCACCTGCACAACAAGCGTGCAGTTGCACATGCACTGAACAAAATGCTCTGGATTCGCCAGCAAACGCAACTAAACGCCGCCCACTATAGCAAAGTGTACAAGCGGCCGCGGGTGCGAGTGCGCTGGTGGGGGTATTTTTTTTTCACAGCCGCAGGCGGAAGCGCCAGCGGCGGAAGGTCGCGAACGGGCCGCGGACGCGACTAAATTACCTAACGCGCGCAGGGCCGCGGATCGGGCGGCTCACGACAGCGTCCAGGGGAGACGATGCAACCCAAGTGCCATGACAGCCCCTGAACGGGCATGCAGGTGCGTCCAACAGGCCTGAGGTAGCCACTGAGACCACCAAGCGCAGCCAAAATGGCGCGAAAACGTTCCAACGTCCAAGGGCGGACAAGGAAACGGCCGTGGACGCCAAATCCCAGCCTGTCGGGTAACACAGAGGTCGGGGTGGTAAGTCCAACGAGGATCCCGACGGCGGCAGCGAGCCGCGGCGTCAGCGACATTAAGGTGTATCCATGTTCCGAAAAGACAACCGCACCAAGACGCATCGGCCCAGAACCAACGGGTGGAAGGGCACCGAATGCACGCTCCCGTCGAAACGCGGCGCGCGCACGGCACAGTGTCACAGTGCAGTCCAATGAGGCGGAGAGCACAGGCGGAACGAGACTGTGTATACCCAGGCAAGTCCCACAAAGCCACTGATCCAAGGTCGCGGTAGGAAGCCGTCCAGCAATGACGTCCAGGTGGCACCGATCCATGGAGCCTGCAGGGTACCACAGGCTGACTGGGGACACGTACCAACTGAAGAGCAGGGCGGCGAGCCAATCGCAACGTAAGAAGCGCATCCAGGGTGTGGAGAGTGATGACTAGACAGAACATCCACACCTGAGATGCGACAGCCCAGATCCGACGAGTGGAAGGTAAGGAAGGGCACGATGCACGGCAGACCCATAGGAGTGTGCACATCAAAGGTGGCCCAGTGATACCCCTCCGAGTCGTCGAGCACAGAGGGACGAGGACGTCTTGTATCCGAGACGAGTCCCACAGAGCCAACGGATCCAGGGTGACGGCGGAAGGCCGTCCTTCTTGTTTGAAAAGGTCAGAGCGACGGCGGAAGGCCGATCGTTCGGTTAGAAAGCCCAGGGGGGAAGCCAGTGGTCAAGCGGCAATAAATAGCCCACTGACAGGCCAGGAAGGCCTGGCGGTGAGACAGCTACAGTAGGGCCTGGGGCCGCGAGTCCACTGCGGAGAGGCGGTGGGCGGCATTGCCGAAGCGCGCACCTGGATCCAAAGGCAGGAGGTGCGCGCATCGGGCGGAGGGCGGCAGAGCGCCGCGATTAGGGGCCAGCGGCGCGGCCTGGGCAGCGCCCGCTGGGATTCAGGAAGTGAAACATGGCGGGGAGAGAGGGGCCGAGTGACAAGAGGGCGTCGGCCACCAGTGGAGAGGGCAGTGGTGCCAGTGGCAAGTGGTTTGCGGGATGCGCGGCGTCACGCGCGGAGCAGCAGGTATTACCGAACGGCACCCGAAGGCCACGGGTGAGAGAGGGCGCCGCTCAGGGGGAGGGGGGGGGGGGGGGCAGGGCCGCCCCAGGTAGAGGGAAGGGGCGGCACAGGGCCGCGGTGGCGCGTTGCGAAGCGCATTCGGCGGGGCGGGCACTGGGGGGTGGCGAGGGCAGAGAGGTAGTTCAGTCTTTCCAGCGGAGTCTCTTTTCATCTCGATCATCCCGATCATCAGGGTAACCTCCGCCGCGCTTGCCACCCGCCTGCCAGTGACCCTCGCGCCATCCGTCGCGCCACTCGCCCTGCCAACTGCTCCAGGTGCCACAGGAACTTGTCGCACGGTCGCGCCAGCCCGTGTGGCGATAGCCGCCTTTGCTCCAGTCGTCTG